GGAACAAAAGAAGTATCCAATGAAAAAATAAAAATAAAAATGAAAGAATAAATCTCTATCTATATTTCTGAGATAATCTATTGTAATTATTTACAATATTTACATTGTTCGGATTATTATCCTCATCTTCATTGCCGTATTTACGACGTTTCGACCGTATTACGCTCCGGCCTTCATCAGGTAACTGGAATTTCGAACTGAACCCTTTACTTCACCCACTGGGCTCAATTGCTCTAGTTCTACGTGCCATGCATCCGGATGTCTAAATATCAGTTATCTTCCTTTAACTCCTCTCACCAAGTTTTGGATCACCTCAGATGTGGGTAGGTACTGACCCCACAATTCTTTTGGGTCAAGTCTCTGGATTCAACTAACGTGTTTATGCATTGGGATATGTGTCCTTGAAATATCGTGAATATGGCAACAAACAGTCTGAACAATGTAAATAGTGTAAAAGAAGCATTTTAATGATTTTTACATAGTGATGTTCACATAGTGATGTTCACATAGTGATGTTCACATAGTGATGTTCACGCAGCGATGTTTATAGTGTACATGGCCCGAGAGTTAGAGGTTATTAAATAATTAAGAGGAACCATTTATACGGATTGGTGGAGAAGATAACTTAGACTTGAAAAGGTTAAAATTGTAGTGATGAAGAAAATCGGCTCGACAAAGCAGTGGTTCGTGGAAATCAGCTTCTGGAGTAGTATTTAAATCTCGACAGTGATATAAGAAGAGGTTAAGAATGGCTCACAACAATCTAAGTAGCGTTTACCTGATATTAGCTGTGAAGTTAGAACTGCTAGAACTAAGGTATGCAGTTCGTCGTACCACTTTCTATGGAAATAATGATACAGTAGTTGGAGGCTTGCTGCGTTTCGTCTGTGAAAAAATGACTGTAGGATGGAAAATAATATGTGACCCACAATGACGTGGATACGATTTTAGATTCTATTGAGACAGGAATGTCACGATTCGGAAGCTCCTGTCCTTATATGGAAAATTACTCGATTTTAGGCCTGATCTGATTCTTGTACAGGTAGAGAACATCAGTTTGGTTTGGTTTATTTTGTTTTACGGCATATTTGCCACAATGGGCTATTTAATGCCGAGAATTTTTTTTATTGCTGGTAATATTTTGTTTTGTTAATAATATATTTCTGTGAATATATTTCCTTCAAAAGTATATTGCTGATAATATTTTTTTTTCCAAAATAATTGCTGGTAATAGTTTACTATTTGCCCACAGCTGGGACGTTGTTTATCGTCTTACCCTGGACGCGGATGTAGTTTAACGTCTTACCCAGGACGAGTAGAGCACAGCAGGAGGAATCAGATACATACTGGAGCTGTACAGCAAATCGACTATGTTCCCTGCATATTTAGCTATTGAACTTATGAACGAGCTACGGCTGATATCGTTTCGCGGTATATTAACAACTCTATGAGTTATTTAACTCCGAAATCTAAATATTTTCTGCGTAATTTTATGTTTTCAACTACATGTATTCCGTAGATTATTTTATACTTTCAGTGTAAATATTTATTATTTGCCCGTCGCTGGAATCTGAACAGATGCTAATATCCCGGGACAGCGTGACCTTGGAAACCATAGCAGTTAATTGGTGATATCACGCTCCTTAAAACTTCCAGTCTCCTGGGCAGAGGCAAAAACGAAATGAATTTATTAAAACAAAGTATCTGTTAACAAATAAACAAAATGTCCTTAGCAACTAGAAGCATTTATAAAACGCTATTGTATTCATATTAATTTCGTTTTTCCCTTGAAAATTTCACATTGGAAGAAACGCGTCGGGTAATAATACAATTTTCCTATTCTCTTTTCACGTTATATGCATTAATTTTTTTCTTCAGGTCAACTCTAAGCTGAGAATGATTTCACACACACACATATACACACACACACACACACACACACACACACACACACATACATATATATATATATATATATATATATATATATATATATATATATATATATATATAAAGAAATGGACAAAGTCCGACAATTTATTTTATTAAAGACATTTTTATGTTTAACGTTCTTTTTTATAGATACAAGTATTTAAGTAAATGTTCTGTTTATAATAAACAGTATTAAATAACATTTGCCGGCCTGAATGTCCGAGAAATGTTCATAGAAAATGACGGTTCCGTATAGGATGCAGGTTCGAATCCTGTCAAAGGACGAATATTTTCTATGAAAATTTTTCGGACATTCAGGCCGATAAATGTTATTTAATACTGTTTATGTTCAAACATAAAAATGTCTTTAATAAAAAATAAATATAATATATATATATATATATATATATATATAATGATATAACACACACATACATATATATATAATATATATATATATATATATATATATATATATATATATATATAATTTGTAAAGTAGAAACAGAAAAAAAATAATTAGAAACATGCAGTCATATATTGCTACGTAAAATCACTCTTCCTATGAGTGAATACTGGTTAATTTCTTAACAGATGAAGAAACAGACACACACGAACATATATATTGTATGATTTGGCAGGATGTTTTCATTGAGACATCTTTCATATAATAATTTAATCATGTTTTGTCTACTCTATTTTAGTTGATGTAACTGAAAATAGTAGACGAAACCTATCTAAATATATACTAAATCAAGATATTCTCCTATTCATTGCGAAGAATTTAGCATTATAGCAGCAGTAACCGTCGGAAATACATTGTTCCAAAGTGCTCAACTGACAAGCGTATGTATATATATATATATATATATATATATATATATATATATATATATATATATATATATATATATAATATGTGAATATATATCTAGAAAATAGGAAGGAACTGGTAAGGTAAATAATACAAAGTCCCTTAGTATTTTTGTTATTATTTTTAAAAAATAGTGCTCGATACAAATGTAGAGCATAAATATAATTATTTATTTAAAAATATGATTCCAAATCGCGACATAAGAAATCCCATGTTTCAAAACAAGAGTCTAAAACTTCAATATAATTATTTAAATTAAATTGAGTTAAAATAATCTCTGTTCCATCTTCAAGCGAAATTTTTTTGGAATAGCGTGTATCTGAAATTTACGTGCTTTAAAAATTGAAATCAAAATTTCCATAGTAACAGCTAGCGCTGGGTAGGCGGGTGTTGGGTGTTAATAATAAGTATCAGTTACGTCGAGGAAGTTTACCCTTTTTAAATTAGAAGAGACCATTATCTTTAAGTTTAGTTTTTTAAATTTCTTAAATATAATTTTTCTGACTTTTTCAATCTTAAAGCTAGTAGAACTCCTCACCACCATGAGCCCGTCATCTCTGTACAGTCCGATGTCCTTAATATCAATTTCGCGGTGTGCCGTTAAGTTGGACAGTATCAGAAGACCAACAAGGTCAAAAGACTCTGCAGATTCTAATGGTCCCATAGTGATGTCAAACAGGTCGTTATTGTTTTTTATCCATTGGTCCCCATTATGAATGATAACCGATTTATAATTATATATATATATATATATATATATATATATATATATATATAGTTAGTTAGTTAGTTAGTTAGTTAGTTTATGAAAAACTAGGTAATCCGTATAGATAAACATAAGGAGGATAAAAAAGTGGTCTAAAATATCACTTTCAAAGTAAAGCAAAATAACAACGTCTGTTTCTAGCCTTTTTTTACAAAGAAAATTAGTGATCTCTTCTCTCTTAACTTCCTTCCCTCTTTTTCTCTCTATGGGTTTTTCTTCCCTACCCCTACGATATCAATATATAACTTCCGTTAAGTTAACCGTTTAAATGTGTCAATGTCTGCTAACTCACTCATGCCTTCTCTCTCTCACTTACTTACTCACTTCGTTAATTTTACATATGTTTAATACAGCCCGTCAAAAATATGTAAATTTTCTTTTCATTTTTTGTTTGGAACTAAAGTCTGATGATCCGCAGTCCTTTTAAAAAATCTGTGGTGAAATAATTTATTACATGGAACATTAAATTTAACATTTACATTGAGCTCTCTGGATTTTATACTCCTTTTTTTTCTCTTATTTTTTTATTTTTTCGTTTCAACCTTTTGAAGTAAAGTCTGATGGTCCGCAGTCATTTAAAAGGGCTGTGGTGAAATAATTTATTATTTATTACCTGAAAGTGGTTAGTTTTTTTATTTAAATATATATATATATATATATATATATATATATATATATATATATATACATATTGCAGTGAAAGTTACGACAAAGTGTATAAACATTTCGTATTATACAACAGTTAAGCGGTTATACATAAGGATGCTGAGAATAACACGTACAGAATTTCAGTAATTAAATTTTAAGATGTATAACCTGTAATGTGTAACCCTTAGGTATTCATGCAACTACTCGTATAACTTGAAGTACCGATAAATGTTGAAATTATCCCGCGAAAGAACAGTTGATATAATTCCTATTGTACGGTAAACTTTCATATACACAAGTTAGATAAGATTGTTGTTAGATTTTTTGCTTCTTAATGGATTTATCCCGTTTGTTTGAGTGAAATAATTTTAAAAAATCAGATAAGCCGTGTTTATAATTTCTTTACACGAGATTATATTCACCATGTGTAAATGTTTTAAAATTCTCACAATACAAAATATTGTTGAAGTTAACATTTTTGTCGAGTTTTACAAACTCTAAGTTTCTTTAAGTTATACCATCCAATCGATGATATTTGAATAAACTGATTTGTTTGGAAAAATCCTTTGACAAAAACCCTACTTTGTCGTTTAATAATTTCCTTAATTTAATTAAATTTTGTAGGACATCATGTGCGTGTTCACGGGCGCGTACATGTGTCTCTGCATGTGCGTGTGGCTTACATTAAAACATTTTAATCTCCGTCTACAGGAGCAAATAACAACACTCACTTGTCTGAAATAAGACAAACGCCAGAATAAAATTAGCACTAATTACCGCATGCAGGAAAATCTTTCGTACCGTCTATCATACCTACGACAACTTGTTCAACAGAAACGTAAATAGAATCTCATCACATAAATCAATAGACTTTATTCTAAACACCAAATTTTCGAATAATATATTAAACAAAATAATGATGAATAAACTGTGAATGTATAGATAAATAGAAAAAAGGCACAAGTTTCATGACCGAAGATTAATCGAAGCATTTAAGAAATGAATTGGGAAAGAATGGTCCCTTCAATCGCCAACTGCACTTAATCCACAAATTTCCTATACTTACTGGGCGTAAAATTATTTGAGGAATTTTGGTCCTAAACTGACATTCGCCATCTTTTGTTTTTATTTTTCCTATGTCCACATTTCCTGTGCCTTAATATAGACGAATATATTTGTATAGAAAAATCTTCATATGTAACTATCTATATTTATATTGAGGAATCTTTATCCTTATCTATCTATCTATCTATCTATCTATCTATCTATCTATCTATCTATCTATCTATCTGTGTTCATTATCATACACGAATCATGCTTTTAGGCGTGTCGTTGGGTAGCAAAATCTACAGACGACGCTGCAAAATAAACGTGCGAGAATTTCAATTCTTCAATCATTATCCGCTGATATCCAACCAGAATGTTTACTTTGATGATTTTCTTTGTTCTCTTGCTGTTTCTTCTCAATATCCCCCTCTCCTTCGAACTCTGTCTCTCTTTCTGCCTCTCTCTCTCTCTCTCTCTCTCTCTCTCGATGCAGGCACACGCACATATACACACATATGTATGTTTTGTTTTCTTATTTTTAGTTTCTCTGTTCACTGAAAATATCATAATCAGTAAATTTTACACACACACACACACACACATGTATATATATATGTAGTATATATTAATATATATGAGGAAAATTCTGAAAGTAAATGGGAAAATAAAAATATATATTCCGGGTGTCTGTTATTAAATGTGTTTATTTTGAATTTTTAAATTAATGATTTTATTCTTATATGTATGACACTAAATCTGTACTTCTCCCTTTCTCACCGCATCCATATTTCTCTGCTTCTTCCTCATTCTTTCTCGAGCCTATTTTCTTTCATATATATATATATATATATATATATATATATATATATATATATATATATATATATATATATATATAATGACGTATTCATACATTTAATTTATTTCTGCAATAACTCAATTATTTATCAGAGCCATTGTCTTATTGATGATTGTTCTTTTTTGGGTCTTATATAGAGAATCTGTAATTTGCATCTTACAATTATCAATTATTATACACTTGGTTGTTGTTTCCGAAATAGAATCAAATCATTCTTTTCTAAATTTACGCAAATGTAAAAGAAAATCGTAAGCTTGTTAGGTGAAAATTGATTAGAGAAAGACGAACGCTGTCCCGTGTAAAAAAAAAAATGCACTAATAATGTGACTTCAATGAAAATGAAATAATAAAAAAATATTATTGATATTTTGGAATTCAATATAAATCATAATAAGAAACAATGATAATCTGGAAGCCTTGCAGAAGTATTAAAGTATGGATGAGCAAAACGAAAACTTTCATTTTGTATAGTCGATCAGTTTCCCAACAAATCAATGTATTTAAAATCTTATATTTCATTCAGTTTTTATCATTCTATTGGAGGTGAAAATGACTTTTTTTATATCAAATTACCAGCGTTGGTAGCCTTTTGTCATTCTCTTTTGCATCAAGTAAGTAATTTACTAACCAACGGAATCGATTATAAGCGTCATATTGTAACGAATGCAACCAAAGATTAAATTATAGATATATATTCATAGTTCCGGTAGATCTTCTGAAAAAATATCATCTTTTAATAAGTATAATGCTAAACTTCATTTCTTATTTATTTTCAAAATGAATGATAGGACATCTGTTTATGAAATTAAATTATAGCTGTTATTGAAAATGCATTCACTCTAATGCGAGAGAACAGTATTCAGAACTATTGTATCGATTCACGGCAGTGGTCGTTGAGACATAACCAATTCGAACTCTGTTGTCCGTTTTCTCTATCTGTGCTGATAAACATTGCACCAGCAGTAATATAAAATTTTAAGATCAGAAATCAAAACTATGAGGAAAAGATTGTACGAAATTAATTATGTCTCAAAATTTTTTGGATCTTTGTTAATCTTTGTGATTTTCTGAAATAATCTGAATTAATGCAATGGCATTCGTTGGCTATTTTTCCTCCTGATATATATCTTCTTATTTGTTATGTGAAAGAAGCGATAGCGAACGAAGCTTCTGTTTCTCGTTGTTTCTCGTTTTTTCTCGTATTCCCTCATAGCAACCATTGCACTTACCTTTCTTTTTGTGTATGTATATTTTATATTCATTGTGATTGATTAATTTTTTTTCTATGGCTTACCGACCTTTTTCAAGGTATTTAATCCTGACAATATTTTTAAATTGTAAGATTTTTCTAAATAAGAATGACCTCGTTATATACAACTAAATAATTAACCCCATGGAGGAGAAGAGGCGGATTCATACCTTTCACAGAGTTATTCACGCGTAAATGAGGATGACGAACCCAACTGGAATTGATATCCGCTTTCCGATTAACAATTCCGATACATTTTATACTGCACCGCCTGCCTATCGAAACTTATATCATCTGGATCTCCCAAGTCATCAACTTACCAGGTTCGATGTTATTTAATGCCCTCCTAATGATTATATTATTGTCTCATTTAGATTTCTCGCCGTGACGTCTCTAGAATTCTCTCCGACTGACAGGGTCGAGTTTACTGTGTGAAACCCGAGCACGTACACTCGGGTCAATAGTCAAAATTTATTCAGCACATGCAAACAGGGTATCGGACACTGCATTGACTGGTTTTCTCAGCCGAGTGCCCATCCATAGACACAACCCCGACTGAGTTACCCTCTGACGAAAGACAGAGAAGTTGACACTAGTGAGTAAATGCTTGAGCCAGACTACCTGACTGCGAATAACTTTTGTTTAGACAGTAACGCCGCGGTGTTGAGATGTCACACCCGGGGTAATGTGCTTAATTTACCAAGCGCAATCGGGTATATTTCTTGACTATTTTTCTCAGTCGAATTTTACTCTGTAGACAGAGTCCCGACTGAGGTACCCTGTACCAAAATGGTCTTGACATTCGCAAGCCAGGCAGCAGACAACCTGACTTTGACCAACTGCTATTTACCAAATCCTCCTATTGGGATGAGATCTGACACAAGGTCTAGATTATTGTGTGGATCCCGAACGTGTCAATTCGGACCAATCATTTCTTGTGTGTTTACCACAGCCGACTTTCCGTCAGCAGATAGAATACCGATTGAGTCGCCCTCTGCATAGACCTTGTCAATTGCGAGACAGACAACAGACTGACTGTGACGAACTGGTATTTACTGTTCGCCCAACTGCGGACTACATGCAACATAAGTTCAAGTTTATTGTAGAGAATCCGAGCGTTTCTACCTGAGATATTAGTCAAAATATACCAATCCCCCGCCAAAGCAGTACATTACTCCTTTCTTTTTCGTACCCGTGTCTCTATCCGATGATTGAGCCTCGACTGTTTCACACTCTGCCTGAAGACACTCTTGTCAATCGCAAGTCTGACCGCGAACTTCTTGACTTTAACTTCTCTGTTGTTCTCAGCCGATTTTATATCCGAAAACAGATCCCCGACCGAGCCCTGCTCCGCTCGAAGAGGGTGGTTTTGTCACTTTCTGCCCGAAGACAGAAGTATTTTTGTGTCACAAACCTGGGACTGTCTGCTGACTAGTTACAACACAAGGTCAAGTTTACTGCAGAGAACCTTAACGTTTCCACCCTCGCCAAGGGGTCAAAATTTACCCAGCCCCCGCTAAAACAAGTATTGTTATTATTATTATTATTATTACTACTACTACTACTACTACTACTACTACTAATAATAATAATAATAATAATAATAATAATATTTACTTTGATTTTTGGTGTGCACTCATTTATTTCCGGCTCCCGCCCAGACACCTAAAGTCAGAAATGTCATCATAACGTTTTCCACTAAGCAATATAAAAAGTTAAATCAAGAAAAAACACAAATACAGACAACCCACACATAATTTGTATAGATTTATACCTTTGTAATATTTGAGATCTACATTATCATTATTGAGAGAGCGATCAGCAATTTTAACAATATATTACAACCCTATCAGGAAAACCCGGTTTGAAAAGGTTATCGAAGGTATATTCATCCGATCCATATATATATATATATATATATATATATATATATATATATATATATATATATATGTTGACCGATTTGATTAAAACATAAAATAAGGTTTTACGTGGTGCCTAGATTGGGAAACCATTCCGCTGAAATGGTCTTCACTGTCGGCTTGTATATCTAATCCTTGATTACCCAAACTTTCCAATTGTATTTCCTCTGGTTGTTTTATATTTTTGCAAAATGAAGTGACCAATTATACATATGTTAATCTGAATATGCTAAGCGAGTTTACAAATAAGTAGCATTTAGGAAAGTGTCTTTATACAGGTCTCTGTTAATAGCATTTTTTTTTACATTTATTCCGTCGGTTTCAAATTATTCCTAAGTTTCTTAAATCTAATATTCACTTTATTGTAAACATTACTTGCAAGATTACATTTCTTCTTCCAGCCACGTTCAAACAAATTCACTGCATTATTTTCTATCTTGATGATGTTTTGAACAGGTAATATAAAGATTGAAAAGTCCATCATGATCATGACATGATTGCAATCTGTATGATCATTGTCAACAAAATTCACTAGAATTCGCAGGTTTACTAAAAGTGAAAGAATAGTAGGGATGAACAGGAAAGGATTCAATGTAATAGAAGAAAGCGATTGACAATAAATTTACATTTTCTGAAGTTTGTGATTGACACGAAAATACGAAAATGATGTTTTTTTTTCTACCATGGACATAAATTATAAGCGTATAATGGTTTTAACAAGCAATTTTAAGACTGACATTATGGGACATAGCTGCCAATCGAGTACTGCTGTTGAATCTCTGAATTTAAGATACCAACGAGGAAAGCGCATCAGATAAATAAACTTGAAGACTTTTATAGAAAAATCAAAATGAAGCTACGTACGGCGATGGGAAAATGAGTGACGCCGAGATCCGGGTTAGAACACAGAAGTTACTGATTCTACTTTGGATTTTGTCAAGAATAGCTATATATAAAACCTAAATACTGGAAAGAGGTGTAATAATTTCTGGACTTGAGATATCTATTTTTCTGAAAAAAAAATTTTTAAGAAAAAGATTTGGAAAGATTCTATTTTCTGCTAATCTGAACCATCTCTGAAATGAACGTGATTAAATTCAGAAAATGTCATCCTAAAACAAGTCGATAGTAAATAAATTCCTACTCTGACTGTGTTATCAACAGAATTGTTATTTAATATTTTATTGCCAAATTTTTCTGCTTTAAAATCTATTTCGTCTTTACATTTATATTAGTTGTTGACGAATATACGGCCTAAGTTTTTTCCTCACCAAACATTTTTTAAAACTTCTCTCTTGTCAGATTTGAACATACATGATTCTTTTTAAACTATGGATATGGGAAAGTGGAATCATTACATTTCAAATTTAATAACGTGAAGTGAAGATTAGAAATCCGAGAGAGAATTTTATCGTGTAATTACTCAGATCTTCCAATGCTAATTGAATAAAAATAAACTGACCGAAACTTGTTCTTGAAATATTACGTTATTTTCTATTTACGTTTTTTTTCCCCTGTATTGACGTACTAAGCATAACTTCGTACCCAAAATTCGCATCATGAATAATGGAATAAAAATCTTCAGACAGAATAAAGCAAATTGATTTATTCATGTTTGCATCCTTTTATTGGGATTTAAAATTCTTTATATCTAAGCCCGACTTTCTCTAAGCCAGACTTAGAGCAACTTAAAGAATTCGTCTCAAGTGATATTCCATGTTTTCCGTTGAATAATATAATAGGGACCTTACCCAAATAAACCTGATAAAAAACCTAGTTTAATGGAGGAAAGTACTCACTCATTATTTCATAATCTAACCACATATTGAAAATGTATAAGAGAAAATGCTTTGAAAAAAATATATATTATGGGTAATATATACTTTTCAATGTTATATTACAAAAATATAGACAATTAAATTAGAAAGGCGAGCAAAGCTCTCAAAACAATAAACATATTTATTCATATTATATTGTATACCATTTTACAGCAAAATTATCATACTTAGATATTATTTAAAGAAAAGTCATGGCGTGTATATGACCCAACAGGATAAACATATCTAACTATTGTTATCTTTATTTCCAAAGGACCGTGTCTATGCATTAGGTATTCAAGAGTTTTGCGAAAGTGTCAGTTTTGTTTCCGTTATCTTATAGTGATGTTCATCCTGTACAAGACACGGAATCCATCCTTAGTAATGGGGTTAAAAATTAAGCGGCACATTTTGTGCGTATATGTCGGGTAGATAACGGTTAATACCTAGACTTAAACAGTTTGATATAGTTAAAAATTGGGTGAACATTTTCTTAGCAGTCGGTCCCCCAGAACAGTGGTTCTCGGGAAGAGGCTTCTCGGTTAGAACTTCCTTATCATCAAAGGAATATGGAGGCAGTGATTGTGGTTCATAACAATGTGCGTATCATGGCTGGTCCTAGCCGTAAATATTAAAATTGATATAACTAAGGAATATAGTTAGTCTGAGCCCTTTCAATGAAAGTAGAGATAGATCAATATTATGAGGCTTGCCACATCTCTAGTGTGAGAGAAGGTTGTCGTGTGGAAAATAATTCGTCATTCACTAACGCAGAGACAACTTTGGAATCCATCGCTACAGGAAACTGAATATCGGGCATCTCCTGATCAAATAGGATATCAGTGTTCCATTTTAGGCTTGATCTTGCCCTTTTAAAGATGCAAGTTGACATGAGAAGTAACGCAACAAATGGACTGGTACAGGGAACCGGTCATCTTCCTTCATCTTTAGCGATGAAACACTTGAAGTGTGGGTTCAGTTGCAGACACAATAGTCACTGAAGGCAGCGTGCCTCCCTGAGTGAACATAAATTTATCGTGACTAGTGTATTTCAAGGTACGTTTGGCACTCATATATCGTTGTATCATTAGCATAAATATTCCCAAAGGATCAGTTTATACATATAGTCAGTTACTTTATATAAATTAAAAATACTGTTGGTTTGAGAAGCGACCCTTGAGTCACGTGTAAATTGATTGATAGATTCCCTCCAAACTTACAGTTATAACTACTTTCGGAAGGACTTTATTATCGAGAAGACTCTTCCCGTAATTCCATAACTAGAGAGGTTGAACAGCAATCTTTTTTGCCACAGCTAGAGAAACGATATATCTAATGATATTGTTATTTAGATGTATTGTTGTATAGCGCCTTATTGATTCGCTGGGGATAGTTGTTAGCATATCAGCAGTGTATCGACCTGATCGAAGCTAATACTGGTTGTCGCTTTAGAGATTGATCTTAATTAGGTAATCAACGTTGGCCAGGACCGCTTGTACATAGTTACACTTTGCAATTTCAAGAACATTCCTATGATTGCGATCGGTCCTCAATATAGTAAGTGTTAGACTACACAACTCCTTATGATACATATCGAAGTAATGATCTATAGCTGCAGATAATTCAGCGGCCAACAAATACGGGCTTGTTCGCTCTTTTCTTGAATTATTTTGTGGTATAAAATTCTCCATACCAGAAAGGATCCATTCTGAGACGAGGGCAGCTGTTTTGAAAATATCATGTTTAAAAAAGTTCGAGAGGGTTGATTCCCACATGTAAGATCTAAAGCTGTCCTAATTTGCATATTTATACCAAAAAATCGTTCTATGGAACAGCAAATCTGCGGATGAAATTGGTTTGGTATCAATTTTGATACTGTCACGGGATTTGTCTACCATTTTCAGAGAATTTGTGTCGTAAAAGCTGAGGAACACTTTTTTCAGGAAAGGGCGTGAGGTATAGGTCAAGAAGACTCGCTTGACTACTAAGATAAAATTATCTAGCCAATCATACAATGTAAAACAAACCTTTGTATTACATTTCTACATACAATGGGTAAATCGTCGCCATTTTATATTTTTTTTCTTTTAGCGCATGCGCGTTGATTCTTTTTGAATTTTTCGACTGCATAATATAGTTTGGTCAGTTGGGCACCGCTTATCAGAAAAAGAGCATTATTCAATCCGTCAGAAATTTGGAAACGTCATGCTATGCTTCTTCGCATTCCCGTCGGAAACTCCAATTCGAACATTTCAGAGTGTTTGTGTATCAATCAGTGGGCAGTGTTATTCGGATGATAATGATGATAGTACGGCAGCTCAGAAAACTCATCCTGGTCATTCGAATAAGAAAAGAACTCCCGAATTTGTTGGTGAGTGCCTCAGGCTCAACACGTAGACATACATCACGTGCGTTCAGGTGCTAGTGCTGACCTGGTTAAAAAGGTTGGCTGCTGGAAGACCGTATATAGGGCAAACTGAATTTGCACCATACGCCATAAATAAAGAGATCACAGTCATAACCCGTAACATGTGATCACCTAATTCCCCAGATTGGAACACCCTTTATTATTATGTGTAGTCGCAAAAACTCCTTTAAACACCTGTAACTGAAAGTACATATTATGACAGTATTCACCAACATAAACAAGGTGACCCTGCAGGATTGCTGCTGGGGAATCCGAAGTTGTCCAGGTG